ACTTCAGCATCTTTATCAGTGTTACTGGTTAAAATAATTTGGGATCTTTAAGGTAACTTCAGCTGTGCTATTTGCTGTCTGAACTGGATTTTTGCCTTCTCAGTAGGTAGAGTGCTGTGCCCTGAAGGATGGGAGAGGAGCTGGGTGGGATAGACAGGAATTCCAGTGTGACAGCCCAGAGGTGCCCTAGGGCTGCTCCAGTGGTCACAGAGAGCTCAGCTCTGTTTGCTGATGGGGAGGAGTGCAGCAAGAAGGTGCCTGATCCTCTGGCATGTTTTGTCTTTTCTTCAGGCTGTTGTTAAGTATCTGAGATCAGTGCTGTACACTGAGATCATTTTTAATTAACAATTACTTTAGTAATTGACAATGGAAAGATGACAAATTATAATCCCAAACCTGCTTTCATTGTCAGAGAGTCCATGTTTCCCAGAAACAAAGGCTTGGAGGAATAGCAGCGTTCCCTTTGCCTTTTCTCTTGATATGTGTGGTAATTTCTGTGTCTGGGCCTCCAGTTTTTCTCGCATTTCCTCAGTAACTTGAATACCTGAATTGATGAATCTCCTCACCTCCGCATTCCCCCAGAGGCTGTCTCATTCTCTCACCGTGATATCTTCTTTTTTCCTTCCCGCCTTCCCTTGGCAGACCTGCATGGGCAAAGACGTAACTCTTCACGTCTCTGCAAGCAACCCTGCTATGCTGCTCTACCAGAAGTTTGGATTTAAGACTGAGGAATATGTTTTAGATTTTTATGACAAATATTACCCCTTGGACAGCAAGGAGTGTAAGCACGCATTCTTTCTCAGGCTGCGCCGCTAATCTGCCAGAGATGTCTGGGGATCTCCGAAAAACCCAATCTGTCAAAGAAACGACCACAGCTTTCCGTGGAGGATGTTGGCTGTCGCATGAGAGCTGGAACAGACCAGTGTGTTTATCCCTAGGACTTCAGATTTCAACAGTGCTATGTTGTGTGCTGAAACTGCAATCCAAGAGGATTGATTCCTGTGCTCCAAGGGCAGAGGCCTGAAGATGCCAGCTGGGATACACTGAAACCACTGGAAGACCAAAATTCTTTATGGGGAATTTTCCTGGCACTGTTACTTTGAAGAGCCTCATTGACAAACAAGAAAAAAATATTTATCACTTCAGAGGAGCCCCATGGATTTCAAATTTTGAAACCTGTCAAAAAAATGCCGCAGGTTTTTAATTTCTTATTTGGTTTATGAACAAAAATGAACCTCTAAACTTAAATAATTCAACGTGTCTGCTTTGCTAGGAACCATGTCTTGAATCTGTGAAGAGAAATGAGATACTGGTGCATGTAGCTGACACTAACTTTAAGAAAGCTCTACATGTGCCAAAACAGTAGTATTGGAACCATGTTTTAGGAATAGTAAAGAGTGTGTGAATTCATGTGATTCCAAATAGAAGGCTCACCTTTCTTCTGCTCCTTCCCTGCTGCCGTCCTTTCCCCTTGTTGACCCTGTGCTCAATGTGAAGTCCTTGCAGTGCACAGTATTTTGTGTTCAGGAACAGGGCGTCATGTGGGTTTGTATCTAGGCAAGATAGGACACCATACCTGCCAAATCAGCCCTTTGAAATCTTACAACCTCTCTGCCGGTTGTTGGTGCTGGCACAGTTGTTGGCACACCTCTAACCATAGATGGTGCTGCTGCATCCAGCTCCTTCTGCTACAGGCACTCTGGAGAGAAGAAACTCAGAAAAGTCAGTGGTGATGTTTGAAATGCAGGCTGATTTGTAGAAGCAATCTGCTTGCAGCCTAGGGGGAGGAGAAGGTAAAGGTAGGCCAGATCCAGTTCTTGGAAGCACCTAGGCTGTCATTTCATGGTTCTAAGTAAAAAGGAGAGCAAAGAATAAGTAGAAATAACCTGGAACTAAAGAAAATACAAACCCTAAATGGTTTCTCTGGTAGTGGGCTCTTCTCTTTTAGAGAGAAGCAGTTTAGCGGCTTCTCTCTGCCTGACTTTCACTGTTGATGAAGAGAAAGCATCACTGACTAAAGGTCAGTCTGTGCGTTTTAACTACAGATCACATCCACTGTGATGTTCCTTTCACATCAGGCCCACAAAGAACAACACACCAAATGTGACTCCTTTGTTCTTAATCCACTGTGTGTACCTGTTGGCTACATGGCCATAGTAGAAGTTGCCTTAACAGAGTCTTCATTTTGGTAACAGAAGAGAAAGGGACACAAAGTATGTTTTTGTGTAGTCAAATGTACATCGTAACCAACACAAAAACAGTGGTAGTGGGAGGGAAAAAACGGGCCATCCAAGGGTTGTGTGCCCCAACATTCATGCGCATTTCTGCCTGCTTTATGACTACATGAAAATTTTTGATGTTATTGATGTTACGAGTTAGCTGTACTTGGAAAGGAAAAAAAATACCCGTCTTTATGAATGAATTAAAGCCCTTCCCTTGGAAAAGCCTACCTGTAGTTGTACTGTTTGTTAAGCTGTCTCTCCATCATATTTCATTGAAATCTAGCAAACTCAGATGTGGCAGAGGATGGGTGTGGGCAGCTGACCAAGCAAGAAACTCCTTATTTCCCCACTGGACACCTGCACAGCAGCCACACACATGCAGGCTGTAGCAGGCTGTTCGTTTCCAGCCAGAATTGGGAAATATAAGATAGTCTGAAGAAGATGACCAGTCTGCATTGCATTCTCAGAGGTGACCATGAAGATTTTGAGGACCTGCTTGCTCTGTGCTTATGTGTCTGTGGCTTTGTCCCTCAAAGGGACAATGCCAAGGGAAGAGGGTTTTATAACAGACCTGGGATACCTGCTGTGCTGCAGACAACTTGTCTTATCCAGGTGCTTCATTTACTCACAGATCCTCAAAGGCAATGAAGTGATTAAATGCCTTTGAGCCCTCGCACCTCAGCTGTTTTTCAGGAAGACTGGTAAGCATAAGCTCAGTAAAGCTTACAGGGAATGGAGATCACTATTGCTATTTTGCTTGTTTCTTGCTAATTTGCCCATATTTCTGGGAAAATTAGCCAGTTAACAGCTATACTTATATCCCACACTCTCAGGACTGTAAAACTTAAGTTTTGATCCCTTGGTTTTATCTTCTGTGCTTTTATACACTGTACACTCTGTTCATTCGTGCTGCCTGGGAAAATGTAGTGTGCCTTTGAGTTGCTTACTTTGAGATCCTTCCCTGATGATCCTGATGGCTTTGGTGGCTACAATTGTGGCTGACTCAAGCATCACTTCACTGATGGTTTGGGTAAAGGTGAACAGCCATGACCGAAGAACTTCCTGACTTGCAGAGAGATCACAGCAAACCAGCTCTGAAGGACAATGGTGAAAACTGCAGTATCTGTGTATTATTTTCTCCTGCCAACTCAAGCTGTTTGTAGGAAACATTTGCTTGTATTCTTCTGGCTGTAGGGGTGAGCACAGAGGCACTGTTGGGTGAGCAGGAATTCACCCCCAATTTCAGCAAGAGTCTCCGAAGGACAGGAGGCTGAGGCCAGCATCCTGACAGGCACCGTGTGAAGTCAGATGTGCAATCTGATAGCCTGGGGAAATGCCCCAGAGGTGCCAGGGAGCTCTACTTGTCTTCACTAGGTCAGCACCAGAATTTGGCAGTCTTTGAAATAGCTATAAAACAGCTGCTGCAGATTGATCTCTCTTTTGTGGCTGCATGGGGATCACTTCCAGCGTCCTCTCAAGGTAACATTTCCTCCCCATAATGCTGAATAATGAGAAGTTTAAAAGGCCAGTGCTTGAATAGCCATGGCTTTCTCTGCAAGGGATGAGGCTCTTAGCCCTCTGCTTCCCTCTTTGTGCCTTGGAAACCAGGGTGATTGGTTACCTTAGCTGTGATTAGAGCCAGCATCCACCCTGTTTTATGACACGATTACTCCACACTTCCCTGAGCTGTGCAGTGACTGTAGCAGTGATTAGAGTTGCCAAACCTAGCTCAGTTTAATGGAACAGAGTTTTCCTGGAGGATAAAGGTGGAACCTCACCTTCTGAAAAAGGCAGAAAAGCCCAAGCATTCCCATGGCCTTGTCTGAGCTTTGATACTTCACGACCAGGAAGTAGCCCTCTCTAGTCACCTTCTTGTGCCCGTCCATCTGCTGTAGCTGAGCTGGGTAAATGCTCAGATCATTCTGCACAGTAGTCATTAATTTTGTAGAAGTAATACTTTGCAGCTTGCTTTGAAAGAGAACTCCTGAGAGTCCTGATGTTGCACACGAGTCAAATGCTTCCTTTCAGATTTCAGATCCAGACTGGGGGCTGAAACAAAAGTGCTCGGCCCATTCATTGCCACCTATAGTGTGAGGATGTGCTGCTTTGCAGACCTGCCTGCTTGTGATGATAAGCTCTTAGTGAGTGGTCGAGCTAAGCCATTTTTATCACTTGTCTCTGGCAACCTGGTCCGCAGAGTTGCTTCCCTCTAGCCCTTGCGTTCTTCCTGGAGGAGACACTGCCCGCTGCATCAGCGCAGGAATGAATCTGAGCTTCTGCTGCTGTGACGGATGAGTAGCCACGTCGTCCCTGCAAAACCAGCGAGACAAGACTGCTCCGTCCCACTTTCTCTTCCAGACAGGCAGCGTTATCCAGGCAGGGGCAGTGCGCTCAGCCGCTCCCGCTGCCTGCAGGGGTGGAAAGGCGGCTGCCTGGAGCAGGAATAGTCGCCATTGTCGCGGAGCAGCGGGAGCATCCCTGAGCGGGTTTTGCCTCAATAGAAGGAAGGCAAGAGCAATCCTGCTGTGCTTCTCTACCAGCTCTGTCAGCACAGAAACCCATGGCAGCACCTTCCTAGGGGTGTAACTAAAAAAAAAAAAAAAAAAAAAGGTCGATCTGGCAAACTTATCCTCCTTCCCCTTGGATTTGTGCTGGGGGGCTTTAAGAAGACGCTACAGAACAACAAAGCATTTCTTTTCCTCCCACCTCCCGCTCTCGGGCTCTCCGAGGCTGCCGCTGGCGGGCGGCAGCACCGCCCCCTCCCGTCCTGCCCCGCGCCCGCCGCCGTTCGAACGGGGACATGGCGGGCCCGGCCGTGCTGCCCGAGGAGTGGCGGCTGTACCTCGTCTCCTCCCGAGTCGCCACCTTCCGCAACTGGCCTTTCACCGAGGGCTGCGCCTGCACGCCCGAGCGGGTGAGCCGGGAGCGGGGGCGCGGGGCCGAGGGAGCGGGGCCGGGCGGGCGCTGAGGGGACCTTCCTGCCCTCCTTGTGCCCGCAGATGGCGGCGGCGGGTTTCGTGCACTGCCCCAGCGAGAACAGCCCCGACGTGGCGCAGTGCTTCTTCTGCCTCAAGGAGCTGGAGGGCTGGGAGCCCGACGACGACCCCCTGTGAGTACAGGCTGGTTTCCCTGGCCCCCTCCCCGACCGGCGCCGCTCCCGAGGGCGGCTCCGCTCTGGCAGCGGGAACCTCTGCTGTCAGCCCAGGTGCTCGGCGGGGGAGAACAGCTGCCTGTGGCTTGTTGGGAGCTATTGTCTTCTATTTTCTCTTTTTCCCCCACCCCTCTTTTCAGGGAGGAACACAAAAAGCACTCTGCGGCCTGTGGTTTTCTTTCCCTTCAGAAAGAACCTGCTAACCTGACACTACAGGAGTTCCTTAAGCTGGACAAAATGCGAATAATAAAGTCAATTGTACGTACACAGAGACCGTAATGTGTCTCCAGCCCCCACCCCGTGATGTTGGAAGAGTTAGTTTCTAGCCTTGGGATTGTTTAGCTGGACTCCTTGTTCCTTACTGCAGCACTGCCGAAGTGCTTTGTTGCTTCCAGACTGGGACTGGATGAGGATGGTGTGCCCATTCCTGGCTCTCAGTCTTTGCTCTATGCGAGATGTAGCCTGATTTCCCCTTGAAGCTCGACAGTACTCTGTTTAGTGGTAGACGGTAACGTATTATTTTTACTTTCTGCAGAAAAAAGAGATTTCTCAGAAGATGACCGAGGTTGAAGATGCAGCCAAGAGAACACGCTCTAAAATAAAGAATCTGGCCTAGACTGCTGCAGCTTCACACTTGCCAGTGACATCTTTCTTGTACCGTGGCACTGCCACTGTGACTGAATGGCCTTGTTTCCCAAGGCTGCTTCCAGACTGGATTTTTCTGAGAAGCAAACTGGATTCTGCTTCACTCACCTGAGTCTGTCTAGGACTGTCTGGGGTTTGATATATTGCATCTTTTTCTGCAGCGATTCCTCCTCATCTTCCTGTTGGTTTTATTAAAGATTACTACTTATAGGTTTACTTGGTCTCTTATTTTTTATTTTTATTTTTTAAACCCAGCTGTTTAGAGATATTGCTGTATTGTAAAGATCCTGGTAGCTCAGGTGCTAAAACATATTTCTGGCAAGAATTGACAAGCATTTCCATTTTTGTACTGAATATACCAATGCTTTTGGATATTTTGGGACATGAAAAGGGGAAGGATTTTTAAAAATCCTTCAGGGATTTAGGATTGTGGCTAATAACATTGAATTATGCCAAATCTTAGTGTGTCTGGTATCCTTGTAAACTTTTATTTGTAGTTGGCTGCTGCCTCGTGCTGATGCACAAATAGGTAAAAGTTGAAGGCAGAACAGCAAAGTCATTTTGCACGATTTTCTGGAGGAAAGGAATCTGACCTATAATGCAGTGGGCTGGACTGAATGCAGTTTTAACATCAAAAGGGAAAACCAGATCATCAATTACAGCCAAGCAGTGCTGTTGCCCAAGTGTCAAACTTTTTTAAGCAGCATTCATCAGGCATTAAAGACATTTCAAAGACATTCAAATTTATTTGTGCCTGGGAAGGTTTAGTTTGTCCCTTTCTTTGCCCAAGTTTGGAAAGGAAATTTACAAAACAATGCAGTCAGTGAGGAACTGTGCTCTGAACTGCTGGAAAGGAAGGGGGGGATCTTGGAGAAAATACCTGACTGTTACAGGGCCCAACTGGATTGTACAGGGTTGTGAATTTTGTGACAGAACTGAATGCACATGATTGGGTGCTCCCAAAGTCAAAGAATCTCCAGTTCTATTTTGGGACACATTGCAAAACCAGTGTTCCCGAGTTTCATAAGTTTGTCCAACATTCTCTGTCCGACCTTACTTGGAACAATGAAATAACCTCATCATTTCCAGCTGTAACAGCCAAATCGTATGCTGATTGCCCTTCTGCATTCTTCTTTTGTGTGTTTGCATTGCAGCTGTAAATAAAGAACAAATTGTTTTAAAATACTTAAATTCATTGCAAGTTACTGGACTTCGTGAAGTCCAGTACTGATTATTCCGCTGATGCGGAATAATTTCAGAATTTCTGGGTGCCTCTTCCTGCAGACCACCGAGCCTCAGACAGGCTCTGGCCCTTCAGTAGTGCCAATTAAGTGTGGGCAGGCAGGCTGTGGTAGCCCGTGGCTGAGCTAGAAACCCAGCTACAGTACATACCATAACAGGGCTCGGATGCACTCCTCTCCCTCTGACCCAAGCAGAACTGCCTCGTGGAGAGCTGTGTTGTTGTGCCTGCATAGGAGGAAAAAGCAATGCACTTACTGCCAAAGGAAACTGTGCTGGTACATGTCTTAGCATATAAAACTAAGGGAAATGAATATGATACGGAATACACTAGAGGTGTGGTAGGCTTTAGTGAGGTTTAGCATATTAAGTGGCTGGGGAAAGGAACTCAGTTGAACAGCAGTTACAGCGTAACAACAGTTAGGAGAAATCTTCAAAGCTGCCAACTGAAAGGACTGTGGATACTGTCCTTGAAAGGAGCTACTCAACTACAGATTTGTGTTAAGGGAGGGGTGGGAGGTTAGTTCTAAAACTGGAGCATGTGTGCTTTTTTTTTTTTTTTTTGTTAAAACTTCAAAATACCCAAGGCAGAGAATCAGTGCTCACTCACAGTCCTGACTGCTGGTCTATGTCGGCACCTTTCTGCACAAGGAAGGAGATTGCTTCTGTGTGCTTATTAAGGACAGCAACTGTGAGAGCAGGTTGATCCTCATCATTGATGCAGTTTGGGTCAGCTCCCTAGAATGCACGGCACAGGGAAAGTGAGCTGTTAAAAAAACCATACAGATTCTTCAACTTCCACCTCGCTTTAATATGCTAATTCAAGTTGGAAAATGGGCTTTATGCTCAAGACAGAGAAATGTTTGTTCAGAGAAAATCAGAAAATGTGTTGTTCTGCTTCTTCGTGTTTTTTCTGAAAATGTTTGTCATCTCCTAGCTCAAAGTCATAGTAAATGTATGTAACAGTAGTCAAATTAGATTCCACAGTCAGGGTGCACCTTACCCTACCACACTGCAAAAACTTAGAGATTATGCTTGCTTTTGCTTTTGACCCTAAACTATAAAACTAATATATTTTGCTTTCTGTTTAGCCTTGACAAGCTTAGAGAAGAATGCCTTATGCACTCTAGAAATTTGGGGAGAACATACATAAATGTAAAACAGGCTGCATCTTCTTGAAAATGCTCTTTCAGTCTGAAGACTATTGCGAAACTGTTACCTCTGAAGTTGCTGAAGTAGTGTACCAGGCTAATATTCATTCAGTAAATGGTCAAAGTGTTGAAATGGGAAACTTCAGCAAGCAATAACTTACTTCATTGAGTAATTGTTCTATAAAGGTGATTCTTCCTTTCCCATTTGGACCCAGTTCATCCAGTAGTTGTCTGGATTCTGTCTGGGGAGACACAGACTAACATTTCACATAGTGAACACATAAGTAGCTGGACCATATCCTGCCTTTTAGCAAAGGTGAAAAATGCACACAGTGGCTTGAATGAAATGTATCTGAGCCTCATTACTGCTAATCCATGACTCTTCTTTGGGAATGTCTTTTTGAATATGAGCAAGTGTTTGGTAACCCAGGCTAATACCTCACTATAGAATTCTTGATTCAGCAAATGTGTCTGAAAAATATTAGCTTTACATCAGTGCAGCTCTCCAGGGCTGTACAAAGATCTGTTCAGCACAGTAAAAGTAAATATATTTAGGATTAAAATTTGAAGCTTCCAGAATTTGTGGAAGTTATTTATTTTAAAAATGTGTATGTCTCACAGAAGTTAGTTTACTAAATCTTAAACAAACAAACAAAATGTAAGACCTTTTCCTTTCATTTCTTCACAGGTTTCCACCTCCTTCTTCTCGAAGCATTTTTATCTCTGGACTCATATAACAGAGCTATGTATCTTCTCACCTGTTGGCTAACTGTTCCAAGCTTAGGTTAGTGTATATTTCCCTTTTGAAATTTTTTTATGTCATTACTGACAATCCGTTTACTACGCTGTTCTTTCAGGAAATTTGGTCTCTAGTGGAAGTGAAGCCTTGCTTCTGGAATTAAACTAGGCCTCAATTGTGCTGACATCTCAGCTTAATGGGGAAACAGAGTTGACTTAAAAGCTTGTTATGTAGATCATCTTCTCCCGCCTAGTTCACAGACGTACTGTGCCAGCAGTAGTTCTAGCACAGCCAACTGTACATCCTCGATGGTGTCACACATAGTAAAGTCAAGGGCAGATGACAGTGCCTTCACCTGATATTGCTTCTGAAAAAAAACCTGTAACAGAATCAGTCTCCAACAGTCTTTAAGCCTAAAGAGGTGCTGGTAAAATACAACAGGTTCAACAATGAGAGAAACAATCTAATTAAGCTCTTAGTAGGAAAAAAAATTAGTTATTTTCAGTTCTGTAATAAATGTCAGTTACCAATGTTCAGGTTTTATATTAAGTTGGACTTCTATCTCCTGCCCCCCGTCAGGGTTCAAACCCTTCTGTTTTAACCCTGGAACACCCTCCTTCATGTTAGTGCTGCTCTATAAATATTTTTTCCTGTATTTGCAGAAGATACTTACAGAGAGCTTATCTTCTTGTCCTGTAAGTGTTCTTGACTTTGTTCTCTTTATTTTGCCTCTTGAATGGAAAAGATTACAATCATCTTTGCCTACCAGAATGGAAAACAAGTGTTAATTCAAAGCAAAGTCAGTATCCTAACTAGAACTTGTGGGAGAGGTCTGGAAATAATTTATCCCCAATTAAAGCAGTATTTATCAGTTTTCCACATGAGAAAGTGATGAAATATTTGTTGCAGATCATACTGGTTTTAACAAAAATTTTACACTGACGCAGTCTGAAAAATCTGCTATTTTGAAATGAAGATTCATTGAAATGTGGAGTTTGGGTTGGTGGTTTCTTTTCTAACTAGCTGCAGCTATTCAACAGTTTTGACTGAGATTCATGAATTGTTTTGTCCAAAAACCTTATAATTTTTGAAAGCACTTTGATTTCCAGATACTTAAGAACAAGACTAGAAGATCCTGAGTAGATATGTATGGCCATTGTTTTTAAGAAATATAATCTATCCAATGTGCAGGAGGGTTGATAAGGAAATCATGCAGCATGTGAGGATCCAAGTGCCTGGAATCACAGTCACATTATTAACACTCCAAAAAAACCAGCTCCCAGTGCCATGGTTGCCTCTTGCCAAGCTTCAGATTGGAAGCACAAAGTGGATGAAACTTACATGGGTGAAACATGTCAAATGATTCTATAGCAATTTCTGAATTCTAATGCTGACTTTACAACTAGTCGATTTAATGAAAATCTAAAACCAATATGAGATGCCTAAAATGCTGAGCTCTTACTGACACCATTGGGAGATGCAAGTTAAAAGCATTGTCTATGAAAACTAGATCTAGAATTAATGTATTTCATCATTTCTTGTCTTGGCCAAATATGCCAAAGCTGAAGTCCATGGCACAGCTCAGAAGCAGAGATAATATTGACATTTATGGCTCCTATTGTAAAAGAATATGGGAAACATCTAAAGTTTTATCGCTATAATAAAAAAAACTGCTATGAGCTATAGTTGCAGTTAAATGGTCTCAGCTGCACTCTAGGGATGAAGGATTCCCATGAATTTTTGACTGTATATTACTTAAATCTCAACTTGGACACATTTTGAAACTTCAAGTTAAGCAGGCACAGAATATGCCAATATAGCAGTTTACCCACCTCAGTGTCTAAGCTTCCAAGCATTACTTCTGTTTTCCTGACTGCTATATTTATGGCCTATTATAAAGACAGGGGAAAAAAAATCTCACCAAAACTGGTCTGACTCCTATCCTTCCCATCTCTGACTTCTGGTACAGTATTCAGGTAATGACTGCTGAACTTCACTGGTTTATTAGCATGAATATCCTGTAGAATCATCAAATGCAGGCAGTTAATGAGATTATCATGTAATGCTCTTATAATCTTGCTGTGGCACAAAACAGTGCTGTTTGCATATAGGCTTTTAATATCACTGTCAAATTATCACAAGACATTATCATATCTGATTGAACTCTGTTTTGAGGCAAAACAATGTAGCATTTTTTTCTAAACCCTGTGACAGGTATTTGTTTTGATTTAGAAAAAAAAAAGGTGATACAATCTTACTTAAAGAAATGAAGATTCTCATCCAAATGAGAGTGTTTCTACCACTTGAGAGATCTGATTAACTCCTCACTTCTGAAATGATATCATATACCTTTTCAGGCCCCACTTTGGGTAAGCTTGCTAAGTTTCTGCAAAAGAGATATAATCTGAATCCTGGATTTTTGAAACAGTAGATTTTCATGTTTGAAACGCTGGAAATGAGGGTGGGTTTTGGAACATGGTAATTCTGGAGATAGGGATTCCAGGTTCTGAATACAATTAACAGGAGCTCCAACGAACATTATCTCCAAACTATTGAAAATTACTAAGTTTATTTCTTAAGAGCACAATTTGCAGGCTGAAGAGAAGCAGGACCTAAGGGGTGCTAGAATCATCAAACAACATCAGCTGAAAGAAGAATGTTAATATTAATAACAAACTAACAAAATGCAAGATGATAGAAACATAATCATGAAGTCTGGCTTAATCAGATAAAGATACCTGTTCACCCAGCTCCAACAGAGAAAAAAAAAAAGGTTTTATTTCTCTAAAGTAAAAAGTTAACACCTTCTGAATAAAAGAATTTTTGTTTAGATCTGAATTTAAAATATATCAGCATTACACTTAGTGGTTTAATGACAGCTTTAGACCAGCTGCCTATCAACAGGCCTCATCCCCTGAACTGACCTTGTTAATAGCAAGAACATAATTCAGTGTAATAGTGACTTCATAGTCATCCTCACAGATGGTAGCAGAATTAATCTAGAAGAAAAGAGCAGCCATTAGTATCTCTTGGAAAAAATATAGACAGAAATAGTTTTAGGAATAAATCTTGATGCTGATGCTTCTTATGCAGCCAATACACAAAATCACAGGTGGCCTTTGCTTACTTGTGATATTGTAACCAACACTTGCCGTGTAACTGAGAAAGGGGCAGGGGTCTTTTGAACAATTTAGAGTAACTGAATCCAAAAGGTGTAATGAGGCTAAATTTCATGATAGTTCAGTCATTCTCCACTGAGATTTTGCAGCTGCATGGAACGCTGTGTCATTTTTGGGATTCCCAACTCCAGGAGAACTGGTTACTGCTTTAGATACACCAGTTTGTGGAAACACAGTGTGTAGTAAAATGTGAGCAACTTTGTATATCAATTCATTCAGACAGTCCTGCTGGCAACAAGTCTATCAAAGTCATACAAAAATGTGCAAGGAGGATCATAAAGAAGTGGAATGAAGCTCACAAGCTTATATTGCAGCTGGTTGAAAATTTTGAGATAAGGTTTATTCATCCAAATGAAAAACTGAAAAAGCAGCATTAAACCCAGATAGTTAACATCTGCTTTGAACCATTTCTGTTACTTTTGGGGGCAGTGGTTTCAAGACAATATAACAGGCTAAGAAGCAGCAGGAATAGCCTTCTCTAGGCAATTTTATTTTTTTTTTCAGGCCTATCCTTTTGGATCCTCTATCAAAGTAAACAAGTTGCAATGGACCTATACTCCAATTCTATTAAGCAGATATTCTAGCTACAGCTTCTGAACATATTGGTGGACAATAGGTCCCAGAGGATATAGATTCTGGTGTAAAGTATCTACTGGAGCCTCATCCCTCTCCAAAGCGTAACTTGACAAATGACAACTACCTTTCTGACCCCCAGTATTCATGAGCCTTTCTGTAGTTGCTTCTGTGTGCTAAAACTGGGGTGGGGAGGGCAAGGGGGGGTTGGCTGGTGTGTCACTTCAGTTAGGACAGGCTAAGAAATACTGAGCTTGAACTGTAACAAGGGAGATTGAGATCAGGCGCTGGGGAAAACGCTTCCCAGTAACTATGCCAGTTCAGGGAGTTCCCAAACCCACTTCTGCCTGCATCCCACTTCCAGCTGCTCACTGCCAGCTTACTTGTTCACTAGCTCTGCTACCCCTGTTTCCCTCCAGAGCTATTTTTAGCCTAGGGCAGTCACTGATCCTGTCCACAGGACTTTGCCACAAGTGATTGTGCTGGCAGCACCTAGAAAGCAATGTGAGAGGATACAGCTACCAAGGAGAGCAATACAGCACTGCAGCTGAATAGCAACAATAGCTGAGTGCAGAAATGGACTGCATGGGCCAATTGCAAAATCTCCATTGCTGATGAGTTTGAAAATCCTCAAAGAGAAATATCAGTCAAGAAGAGTTTAGACAGAGTTGAACCTCCCTCAGGTCAGGGACCAAACGTTCTCTCACACATACCAGCCCTATCTTCCAAGACTCTTTAGGAAGAATTTCCAGTTTGCACCTTCTTGCTGTCACCTCGTTAATCATTTTAATGCAGTTTGGGGACTTCCTGACGACTACATCTCCAGTAAGAAAGCAGTACTCTGTTCCTGTAAAACTGGTATAGTTCACACTAAAAGTACACTGTATAGCCAAAGAGAATAGCTGCTATCTGCTGCTATCAGCCTGGAGCAGAGGCAAGCACATAATCAAAATCCCATTTCTAGCAGGGCTTATTTAACTGAGCAACTACATAGATGTCATTGATCTCTTCTTTTTCTTGATTGCCTTCTAGGGGGTACTATAAAAGCAGCTGAGCAAGGGCTTTCTTATTTTCCTTAGAGCTGTTAGGTGAAAGAATAGAATTAACCATAGGAAAGAAAGCAGAAAAAAAATCTTCAATAAAAGACTGAGCAAAAAATAGAACAACAAAACAAGACAAATTACACACACAAACAGATCACCATCTAAAGAAAAGGGAGTAATTTATTTTTCCAGTGTTTTTCTGGTAGCCACAATAATCTTTTCACAACCCTTCATCGGAAGATATTACTCACAAGCTCCTTCCTACCTTTCCCATTCGAGGTTCTCCAATCAGTGCTCTGAATTCAAGGTTGTTCTGAGCATAGCTTCTAAGGTGAGCACAGACATGATCCAGCTGTTTTCTCCAGTAACCTGATCAGAGAGAGTCAAGCAGGAGAAAAATCCTTAAAATGTGATTAACATTTCTTCTAGTTAAGTGATGGAAGATTTAAAAGATAGCAGAGTTTCGTTGAGATTAGATAAATTTTCTGAAAAAAAAAATTCAATTTTTTTTTTAAATCAAGAAAATGAGAAGGAAGTTACACCCTAGAAAACCCCAGGTGAAACATTCATAGATTATAATTAATCCGTAGGGCACTTTTATTCACAACAAAGTTATAACTTGGATGTTTCTTGGGGAGTCAAAACTGGTCCCATATGAAGGGAGAGTCTCACACTATTCCAGATCATAAAAAAAGAAAAAAGTAAAATATTACATTAAGGAATTGTGTATTATTGAACCAATTTTTAGTTGTTTTGGAAAAACGAACAGGTAACAATAAGCCAAATCTGAAAACTGCAGACACAGAAACTCAGCAGATACAGCATTTTGGTGTGTGTAAGTTGTTTTCCAAATAAATTCATTTCAATTATACATGTGAGAGCTTATTAAAAGCTTAAGCATTTCTGCTCTTTTGCCTGTCAGAATCTCTGGGAGAGAGTCAGCGTTCCTTTGTGCAGATAGAAGGCATGAAACCTGGGAGGCTGAATGCGTCTGGATTAAAAACTCACCTTAAGTCATTTAGAGTTTTTTGCACCTCCTGTCCAAGTATTTTGGGAGCTACATTCCCTTTTCATCAGGGAAAGAAACAAAAGGACTTGTTCTTATTCATAACTGATTGTTATCAGCATCTGGCTAATTTTCTTTTTTTTTAGCATACTTATAGAAAGTATAGAGCATGATTAATTTCATTGTAAATAAATTGTGTAGGCTTGGTAACCTCATTTAACTTACACAATGAAGCTGTTCTGACCTTTATGTTAAGTGAAGCCCCAGACAGTGTAAAGAAACCAAGCCAGAAGGAAAGTGCTGCTCCGACTCTTACAAGAGAAGGCAAGTGCACACAGGCTTTTGTGCTTGGAAAACTCTTTCAAGATCGAACTGGTGTGTCAAACTAAAACAGCAAGTCTTATTTGTTAAGCAGCTTTAAAGGACTATAAAAAGAAGGATCTGCAAAACAACATATATTGTTCCCTGCCATGGTCTCACATGGTTAATACAAATAAGAAGTATTCAATAAAAAATCTAAACTAGACTAATACTTGATGAGCAATCTATCCAGAGAAGTCAGTAATATTTGCAATAAATTGCTTCATAACTATCCTAGATCCCCAGATTTTATTTAAAAAAATCCAGGTGATTAGAAACATATTCTTGCATGGTTGATGTTTTATTGTATCTCAAAGGACTTTTTGGCAACACTGATGGAATACTTGAAGCCATGCTGCCAATAGTTGATTACACCTATGTCACACTGATGTAACATTTTAAACTTTTCTTCTTTGTAAAGTTTACTTGGTAAATGTCTTGGCTCCTGTTCAAAACAGACTGAAAGTAGAGCAAAAAAAGAAATACAGTACACATCAGAGGATTAGTGATTTGGTACTGCTGTTGTTTCCCCCTCTCTGTATTGTTTTAATCTTTACAAAAGGAAAGAAGGTTAGTTAATAGCTGATATGGTCAAGAAATAATAAACCTCCCACATCTTATTTAATCACTTCTATTTAAAAACTTTAATATTAAATTTTTGATACTACTTTAATTGAAGAAATAATGATCATATTTGGCATATCTAAACATATCTAAACATATCTGAGTGATAGTGTACGGTCTTGTTGATACAGATAGTTTCAAGCCATGTATGCAGCTCAGCACCAAGGAAAGGACCAGCATGAACTGACTGTAAGGGACATTTATTGATGTATGGAATGAAATGTGTTCCTCAGTCCTTGTCAGGGTCTAATGAAGAATACATTACACAGTGCAACTTCAACAAAGTTACCTCTGCTAAATGGATCAGCAGAACTCATCAGCAGTGCAGAATTTCAGCTGAACCTCTCCCAGTGACAGCAGTTCTCACTCACAAGTCAAGAGCTCTACTTCTGATAGTTATACAAATGTTCAGTGTTAGTTTACTCTTCTCTTGGCACTATTATGGGCCAATTCTGTATTATCTCTGATGAAATTAAGTTTCCTGACATGCTGAGTCAAGTGTTGTATTTCCTACAGTGATGTCTAAGAGAACACGCCACATTTCAGAGCAAGGGAGTAGTAACACTGATTTTCTTAGTGATTATTTTAAAAGTAAGAGTGCATCTGGATGCAGATATACAGACTCAAAAGAGGAATTTCTAACATTAATTAGCAATGTTTTCTACCCATTCCGATTAATTAATTAATTTCAGTAGCAGCCTGAGGGGTTGACCGTCTGATTGTAGAAGAGACAGAGATGAGAAAAAGGATCTAAAAAAGTAACTGCTTCTCCAAGCAATGCTTTGATGCTTGTAATGATTTTAAATTAACTTGTCCTATGGATTGCACAGCTGGACTGACCTATGAGATTAAAGACAATTTTGCAACTGGGCCATTTGTTAGATGCCTAATTAATACTGATGGACTGTTTTAAGGGTTTGTGATCTAGAAAGGTGAAGTTAATGATTTCCCGGGACAGTAAAACTAAAACCTCTAAAAATTACAAGCATTTAATGACAGCAAACAGTCAAATCATTCCACAAACAATAAACTGACCACAAAACTCACTGTGAAACAAAGTTGTCTGCAATACTGATACAGTAGTCTGTGAGTGGATAGACTCTTCCATGAGTGCTGTGGATGTACTGATACCCCTGGGGGCTGGAAGAAGGGGTCTGCAAGAGCTCTCAAAGTTTCTACCAACCCTATTTTCAGTAATCCTAAGAATCCCTTCCTCTAGTTAAGTTTTCTTCGCTTCCAAAACTTCATCATATTTTTAAGAGCTATGATCCCCTGAGTTTTGTGAATTGATACTTCCTGCAGGTGCCATCACAGGTCTAACTGAAATTCAGGTTGTAGGGGCTGGGGAGGGTGCTGGGAGTTGGGGTGGCTGTTCAGTGGTTTCCAGTTCAAATGCAGGTTATCTGCCCCTGTGTGGGATCTGAGGAAATCAAACTACTACCAAATTAGCAAGGCTGCACAGGAGTCAGTAACCACAATTTTGATATAGTTGATAGCTCTCTTTTAGCTATTGATGGAGATTAGTGATTGAATTCTAAGGCACTGCATTTATAAATGACTGTAAATGGTGGGAAGACAGACTAGTAAAGATCTAAATCAGTATCATACTGATGCCACATTCCATAGACTATAATATTTTCAAGAAAGAACAAGGTCACACATTGTTTAGAAAACATAAAATCAGAACTTCTAACCTTTTCCAGGACTAATGGCTGTCAGGAGAGGCTTATGATCACTCATCTTTTCCAGCTTTTCTTTTTGTGAAATCAACTCAAGCTCCTTCTTTTCCAACTGTTTGCTAGATGGGTAAAAAAGTCCTATGGTTTGGGTTCCTTTATCTTCTCTTTCTGTTAGTTCTGGCCTTGATTTGGTCATGGAAACAGGATGAGATTGCCAGGCAACCTGAGTTTGTAATTGTTTAGCCTGGGGGGTTGGAGGGGAAGGGAAAGTCTAAGTCATATAATTAGATATAATTAAATGGCTTACAAGCATAACTTAACTAGAACAGTACACAAAACTGTAAAGGAATCAAAAAGCAAGCAGGAAGAATCACTAACAATTCTTGATTTTAATTACTAGTCTGTAAGAACAATACAACTTATCACAAATATTCAAACAAAATCAAAACTCTTCACAATTGCCAGGAGACATGTATGCTTTTGTAGGGCAAAAGCTGGTCTTGCTAAGTATTGTGGTCTTTCTTAAAAGAGTTTTAAAAACACTGTTACATTTGTATGAAGGAATACCTTGTATCAGCACGCCACAAATAATTCAAAACTAAGAGAATAAGCTTAAAGAGCTAAGACTTCTGAAAATCTGATTGTTTCTCACTTGCTATTTAGGATGAGGCTGGATTAAGGCCTCGGGCTGACACTGCTCTTCAGCGGAAAGCAAAACAAAGGTATCCTTGGTTTTGCTCTCCTGCTCTAAGACTGCAACATTGTCTCAGGGAAATGAATGGAGCTGCGCCCACAATGGACCGGCCTTTCAGTTATCTTGAAACCTGGCTTTGAAATACTGTGTGTCTTACCTCAGAAGATCCCAGTGAGTCTCCAGGGTCCATAAGACTGCTGCTGGGAGAGCCCTGCCTCGATGGGGGCTCTATGTAAACACCACAGGACGCGCAAAAGCGAGCGTAGGGCTGGTTGCTCGTACCACACTTGAAACAAGTGAAGTAGGATGGAGGAGGTCCAGGCTGGAAAGTTCAATGCGACACTTGTCACTAGAGAAGCACACGATGCATGGTTCAGGGATGATAAGAGCAGAGGAATTAATTAAAAAGAAGTAAAATACCACTCCCTAAAGATTAGGAATATTAACCAGGATACCAGATTGCTACTACACAGATAGTTGCACGACAGTAAGTCTTTAGATATCTCAGCACTATATTATTATGAAGGCAAACATTTTTTCAGACAGATCTAGCATTATGGTATGTTCAGTTTTAACACAGACTTTCAAAATTACTTATTTTATTTGACAAAGCCCTGTAATTACTAGTCTTGTGCTCTGATATGGAATACTGACTGGAATTCTTTCCAGTTCAATTCTATCACCACTCTCACCCCCTGAATTCACTGGCACAGTGCAGAACCAATGGTTATTGGATACAGGATAGTGTTTCAAATTCTATATGCACTCAGCTAACAGTAAATAAATTTTCCTTGAGTGTGCTCTGAGACTGAAACACTATAGAAGGGGAAATTGTTCGCACAAGCTCTATTGAGCAGCAGTTAAGTACTTGCCTTTACCCAAGTTAATGAGATCTTTAGCCAAAATGATTGCATGCATCATCTCATGTCTGTAATTGCCTGTATAGGTGATTATAGCACAGTGTAGTTATGGGAATACTTGCATTAGGTTAGCCTATACTTTAACCTTTGATGGATAAGTTGCTTTGGCTGAATACAGCGCTGATGCATCTCAGCTTCTGTCATGAGCTGATGCTCTTGACCCATGGTAACGTGTTAACAGTTCTAAAACCTTGAGTCACTGACTGATGTGGGGTCAGGATGTCATCTAAGCCTTTCATTTTTCCATACATAATTCTATGTGCTCTAAGCAAGTATCTTGATAATAATAATAATCTGTCTACTAGCTGACGAGTGTTGCAAAGAGAAGTTTGAAATTGCTGCAGGTCACAGATAAGTAAAATCAGATTTGTACACACAAACATCAAGAGCACATGCCTTGGCTCCACACCAGTCACAGAAACGGGCATCACACTGGTTCACACGATGGCATTTTGAGCACGAAACTGTCTTCCTTTGCTGGCTGTGGTAAGGTGGGGGGGTGTCTCCTCCAAACATAGGCTAATAAAACAAAACAAGCATTAGGGAGAAAATGCTGCTTATGAAGAAAAGCTCACAAGCCTTATAAGGGGAAACATGAAGGCAAGCTACTCTGATAACACAGAGTAATATGCAGCCTCACAGAATTATTGCAACTAAGAATTACTGCAACTTAAAATGAGCAACAGAGTGGCTTGGATCAAATCTGTAATTTTTTTCATTACAAAATCATGGTAAAATGTGACATTAATTAATTTGAACATATTTTTAGCAGAACTAGTACCTGAAAATAAAAACCTTATCAATGGTGTCCTTTTACACTATGTATTTATTGATGGACCCCATGTATAAGTACAGTCGAAATTAAGAGTGAGGGTTCTCTGCTGATAATCTTACATTTTCAAATCCAACACAAAATAGCTATTTTATTTTGTACCTTCCTTTTTAGTAGTATGGCAGGGGAAATGTGTTCAGGCAAGGAGTTTTCTCACAGTTTGGAATTTGCTGTATAAATATTCTTTTTGCGCTCTTTTACCTCATGCAAGTTACATATTACCTTGTTTTTCTACTACAATTAACTTATATGGGTAAGCAAACAAAACAAATTTTTCATCTGAAACTGCTAGAGGTTGAGTATAGGTCCCAGCTAGGACAAATAGGATTTAAAACTGCTTTGTAAGGTTTTGCTTCAAGGCTTATGCAGTTTGTTTTTTCTACAAGTCAGGAATATGGATAAGCAACAGAACCTGAAGAAAATTATTTGTATTACACCACAACAGCAAGTAAGCCAACATGAAATAGCCCTATTTTCATCTGTGGTCCACATTTCAACTGGAACTATGTACTTTGAGGGTTCAATTGGAAGATACAATTTACAACGGCACAGGTCTAAATGTCTTCTAAATCTATACTATTTAATAGCCATTAATAATAATATCAGCATTATTATTAATTATTCAGAAATTACTAATGATTATCACTAATTAATCTATATTATTAGTAAAATGTCCGTAATAATTCTTAGTAAGCAACTAACTTTCTCTCTTAGCTTTTACAGGTCTCACCATTCAAGATACGAATGCTCCATATGCCTAACTACATATGCAGCTGCATCTTAGTCTCTACATTCAGTGAAGCAGCTAAACGTGTATTTGTCTAAAATAAGCACAGAATCCTACTGAAATTCACTTTGAAATGACACTTCAGTGGCTACACAAGAGACTTTTGCCTCTAGCAACAGTTTTAGATCTCAGGACGTTATCCATTGTAATCAGAAGATTTTAACTTGCAAATCATTGTTCTTCTCTCATTTCTGTATTTATCACAACCTGGAGAAGTGAAATGTACCATAAGATTTCCATACAAAACTCCTCAGAACTGAAATTAAAATTCTCCCAAGGAACCAAATGAGCAAGTTAAATGGGGAGTTGAAACAGACAGCAGCTTAAGGGGTAACATTTACTACTGCTTTTCTCACCTCTGTGCAGAGTCACAGCCAAATACAAGCACACTAGCGGTATGCACATAGGAGAGGCAGCAAAAGGAGATAAAAATAATGTAAAAGTGGAGATAAGAAAAATAATGTAAAAGCATATTTTGTTTTCAGAAAATAACTGAAATCAGTGTGAATGATCTTCCTCATGTATATACTTAACTCTTCTATTGCAACTGAAAATAATCTGAACAGAAACAAGAGACTTCTTTGGAGTCAAGACTACCCATTTTCTAAGAGCCTTTTGAGCTTACTCAGTGGCATTCATAATCCTGACTTCCACGGGAGAAACTTGAAGGTACATGATACACTTATGTTTAGCTGGACATTTGTGATGGAGCATCTGTGGCAGTACTGGGCTTGAACATGACACGTGGAAGGGAATCTTCTGCCTTTGTAACACAGGGACACAAGGATATAACTTCAGTTTTCCAAAGATAAAGAATGTTATGCTTTCATTTGGTTGATGCAAGAAACCTTACCGTCTGTATTTCAGGCAGTTTGCTTTCACAAGTTGCACAGTGTTTATGGTGAAGAGGATTTCCTGTGCCACACACCTGACAAATTACTTTACCCTTTTAAACAGAGAAAGAATACATTTCACATAGTATTTGAAAACTGCGAACAAGAAAAAGAACAAGAGGACTTGATCTTACAAAGTGCTGTAGTTATTCAGCCCTGAAGATAGAAGAGATCCTTAAACTCTGTGCTGTAGGTTTCACACTTTAGTTAGGCCATATTGCCTGGTCATCATAAATCTGTGTATCTTGGAGACTATTCTTTCTTAAACTATTGTACAGTTTCCTCAGAAGATCCAGTATCAATACCTCCAGATATTTGTATACACTAGTATCAGTTTGCTTAGTCACTACACTCATACAAAACAGTCCAGTACCTGCAAGGAAAATTATTAATAATATAATAACAGTTAATAATACAATACCATCATACTATGAGGTGCCTTAAAATATCCTTAAAAGGTCTTAGTACAGTCACTATTAACAACTGAGTTTCTACCAGAACTAAGGATAATGAGACTGCTATGTTGATTGTTGCCACCAAATAGTTCAGGTCTGCCTTTGCACCTATATTAGGGCTACCATAAAACATTACATTTGGGCCAATGTGCATAACCTACTTGTGGTGGGTTGACCCTGGCTGGAGGCCAGGTGCCCACCAAAGCCGTTCTACCACTCCCCTCCTCAGCTGGACAGGGAAGAGAAAATATAATGAAAGGCTCATGAGTTAAGGGCATTAATTACTGATTGCTGTCATGGGAAAAAAGAACTCAGCTTGGGGAAATTAGCTGAATTTATTACCAATCAAATCATAGTAGGATAATGAGAAATAAAGCCAAATCCTAAAAAATACCTTCTCCCCACTGCCCACTCCTTCCCAGGCTTAACTTTACTACTGATTCTCTGCCTCCTGCCCTCCTCAAGAGCACAGGGAAATGGGGAATGGGGGTTATAGTCAGTAACCTTCCTTCCTTCTCAGAGGGAGAACTCCTCATAGTCTTTCCCTATGGGGACAGCATGGGGTCCTTCCCAGGGGAGAGAGTCCTCCATGAACGTCTCCAACGTGAGTTCTTCCACAGACTACAGTTCTTCATTAACTGCTCCAGTGTGGGTCCCTTTCCACAGGGTACAGTCCTTCAGAAAAAGGCTGGGTCCCCCGTGAAGTCCCAAGTCCTGCCAGCAAACCTGCTCCAGTGACTCCTCTCTTCATGGGGCCACAGGTCCTGCCAGGAGCCTGCTCCAGTGTGGGCTTCCCATGGGGGCACACCTTTCTTCAGGCATTCACCTGGTCCAGTGTGGGATCCTCCATCAGCTGCTCCCCCATGGACCTCTGTGGGCTGCAGGGGACTGCCTGCCTCACCATGGTCTTCACCACGGGCTGCAGGGTAATCTCAGCTCCTGTGCCTGGAGCTCCTCCTCCCCCATCCTTCTTCGCTGACCTTGGTGTCTGCATAGTTGCTTCTCTCACACATTCTCACTTCTCTCATCTCTGGCTGCAATCTGCTCCTGTGCAATAACTTTTTTCCTCCTTTTTTAGTATATCATCCCAGAGGCCCTACCAATGCTGCTTTTTGATTCAGCCTTGGCCAGCAGGGGGTCCCTCTTGGAACCAGCTGGCATTGGCTTCATTGGACAAAGGGAAAGCTTCCAGCAGCTTCTCAGAGAAGCCCCTCCTACAGCCCCTCACCTCGCTACCAAAACCTTGCTGTGCAAACACAGTGCATTCCACCCAGCACCTCTGTCAATCTGATAATTTAAGAATTATCATTAAAATCCACATTACCATCAAAATAACATCATCACAACACTGAATGAAAGTGTACAATTTACACACTATCCACCCCTCTTCCTTTCACTGCAAGTACAACAAGGGAAATTCCCCATGATCACTCCACTCTCTAAAACTGTGTGGTTCATGTTTTGTCCATTACCTCTTCCAATTACTATCCTTATCTCAAATTGCTCATGCCCCACATAGGGCACCAAAAAGAACTGTGATGGATTGACCTTGGTTGGATGCCAGGTGCCCATCAGGCCACTCTATCACTCCCCTCAGCAGGACAGAAGAAGAAAATAAGATGGAAAAACCCTCATAAGACGAGATAAAGGCAGTTTACTAAAGCAAAACTGAAGGTCATGTGTGCACCAGTAAAGTTAAAAACTCAAAGACTTTCTGTTTTCCATCGGCAAGTGAAGCCTAGCTAATTCCTGGGAAGCAGGGCTTCAGCATGTGTAGAGGTTGATCTGCAAGGCAAATATTGTAAATGATGAATGCTCACCCTACCCTTCCTCCTCCTTTTTCTTAGCTTTTATATCTGAGCTGATGCCATATGGCATGGAATTTCCCTTTGGTCAGTTTGGGTCAGCTGTCCTGGCTATGTTGGCTCCCAAGATTTTGCCCACCCCAAGTCTACTGGAGATGCTGGAGAGACAGTGCTGGTGCTTGCCAGCACTGCTCAGCAGTAGCCAAAACACCAGTGTGTTATGGACACCTTTCCAGCTGCCTGTGCAAAGCACAGTACTGTGAGGGCTGCTGTGCGGAAAATGAACTCCATTTCAGCCAGGTCCAAGACAGACATCAAGCTGATAACTGCCTCAGATTATGAATCTCCTTTGTTATCTGATTAGTCTTCAGGTAGTAATTTCCTTTCATCATCCTTCTCATTCCAAAATTGATCTTGGAGGAGGTAATCCTTGAATCACCTTCAATCATCACTACCTTTCTTGGACCCCTCTTTCTGCAGGGCCTTATCCCACTAGACCTTTTCAAGCAGATTCCTGAAGAGGCCAAAGTCTGTTCTCCTGAATTCCAGGGCTTTGATCTTGCTTTTGTCCCTGTTCTTCCTCTCAGGGTCCTGAACTCCTGTTTCGTGGTCACTACAGCCAAGGCTGTCTTTGACCTTCACATCTCCAACAAGGCCTTCCTTCCTTCTAAGTATAACATCCAGCAGAACACCCTTCTTCTTTGGCTTCTCAACCACTTGTTAAAGGGAGTTATTTATCTCTGATATTTTCCAGAAGTGCCAGACTGCTTATGCCCTGCTTTGTTTTTCATCCAGCAGATATCAGGTGGCCAAAATCTCCCATGAGGACCAGGGCTTGTAAATGTGAACCTACTTCTAGCTGTCTGCAGAAGGCCTCATCCACTGTTTTTTCCTGGTTAGAGGGCCTACAGCAGACACCCACTACAATGTCACCCCTAGAGGTGACACTGGATCATGGAATCATCTAGGTGGGAGAAGACCTTTAAGATCATCGAGTCCAATTGCTAACCTAACATGTGAGCCATCGCTCCACACTCCGCTGCTACATCATGTGCTCTTCACCATGCCTTTCTGAGCTTACATGGTTCACCTTTAATCCTTATTTCCATTCTAGGTGTTTTCAATCCTACTAACCCTCAAAGCTCTCATAATGTAATTATACAAAGCCAAGTTGGATCAAAATATTTGTAATGAAGTCACCTGTTAAAAAAATGCATGCCAGGAGTTAAACCGCTTTTATGTTACGTTTATTCTCAATTACCTTTATGCAGATGTTGTTTTGGGGCTGCAGCTGTGGAGCTATTGGTGACTCACATACAATGCAAGTGGGTGTATTCATTGGCACAGGATGTTTGCATTCAAGACATGGCGCCATCTAAAGAAAAAGCCACAACACAGCATGTTAAGGACCACAATGAAATCATTAAGGTTATAATGAGATTTCAGTATTTTCCTATCTGGAGTCTATATCAGCAGCCAAGTCACTTGAAACAAAGAAACTGACAGCAACTGATGCTGATATTGATCCTTAAAGATCAAAGGCTATTGAGAAACTATGAAGACATCTGGAAAGACAATGCCAGAAAGGTACTAAGTTAATTTTCAGTAAAATTAAAATGCTACTATAAAATACGTACAGGTAATTGAAATCCTCCTAATTATGAACCTAATCTAAACAGGTGGGGGATCTTCTCAGTCATTACTTAAAACTACAGCACTGCCCCAGACAAGATATCTTTGTGATGATACAGGAAAAGGAGACACACCACTGACTTTTTAGATCAGGTTATTATCTCCTGGGAAGGGCTTAGAGAAGACAGTTAAAGGCACCACTGCAAAAACTTGGTGCTCTTACATATGCCCACACATGCCACCGTTTAAGGTTTCAGGAATATTAGATGGATCTTCTAAAGCTAAGACATAAGCACTAATTATTAGCTAACTAACTGCACTAGTTAGCACTAGAATAAGATGTACATTCAGGTCCTGAAGATGTAGTGTGTGTTACTGCAGGATGAGGAGGAACCTGAATTTGTCCTGGCACAGGCAAATAAAACACAATTTACTTTTTCATTGTTTTCCCTGTTAAAAAACATGGCACTTGAAGAAATCTATGGTTAATTTTGCCCATCATTTGAGAGTTTCATCGGCTCTACTGCTAAAGGTATTGAGCGGAACAAAACAACTAGAACAGAACTCCCAAGTGAAAGTGCAACTAAGTAACAGGTTTGTCAGCATTGAGTGTGTAACTTGCAGAGCATATTGTTTACTCCAAAGAGAATGTGTTGATTATTATGACATCTTGCTGACCTGCCTTCCTTCAGGGAGTGGGAAGCGATGTACTGGCACAGGTGGGATAGGAGATCCACATTTCTGACAGAAGTGAGCCAACGGATTAGACAGGCGAGGAGCAGAACAGTGTGCACATCTGAAAATAAGACCAAACTGGCTGAGCTTGTTTTAGTATTGCACTGCTGCCTAATAATTAATAATCTAGAACCTGTTGTGACAGGACTTAGGCCACTGATTTCTTGGTTGTGGTTTCCAAGCTATGGCGGTCTACCAGACCATGCCCCAGTACTCATGATATGAAGTTCTGAATTCTAAACAGCTTTGCAGAGTCGAAAGCTCTCTGGCTGCTATGGAATTTCATACTTTCTTCCTCACCATGAGGAGGTAAACGTGTGAGGTAAACAGGTCTCCTGACACGCAGTCTGTATCAGGCCTCACTGCTGCACCACGGGGAACCACTGATGTAGATCACAGAACCCTTCCAATACTGATAAGCATTAATATCCTGAGAGACTACTCCAGCGAGCAGTTTTCACCTACAGCAGTAAGGGTTTACTATAATTTGAAAAGACACTTTATCCCCTGACCCTACAGGTCTTAGAAAAATTTTTTTAAGGGATGATAAGACAGGTGATACCAGTGTATGGTAAAATGTAAAGAAAACTTAAGAGAAAGCCTTACCTAGATTATATAATTCAGTTATGAGCCAGTGTCTGTCTTTGCTTTCTTAATGTTTATAGAGGCCCACAGTATTACCAACTTGCTTGCAAAAGGCTCAGACACTTTCCAAAGGACAAATATGTTAAAAGGAGAAGTCACTTACTTTAGGAAATCTGTTTCCCTCTGGATCCTTGACACCTGCGTGCTTGCTAAGCTTTTCCGGCTAGTCACTGCAGGAGAACTTGCAAGCTGAAATAAAGTTACTCCTTTAGCCTTGAGTAAGCAAATATTTGCAAAATGCATATAAAAGCAGCAAAATCAGCTAAAGATGTTATTTGAAACAACAGGAAACAGTGCACCGAAATGCACTGCTCTAAGGAGCATCAACTATACTTGATTCCCCCATTAGCTGCATTAAGGATCCACAGCTTCTTCCAATAAAAATAAATCAATGTCTTGCTATTTACTTTCATGACAGCACTACTGAATATTGAGTTTCAAACATTAACTCGACAACATACAGCAGTAGGCATTTGCTAATTGCCCATTCGGCAACATATCAGAAGAGAATTAGAAGGAATGTCAATTTTCTTTGCCTGGTTTTGTCCATACTGATAACTGTAAACTGCTTTGGGCATTCCTATTCTAGTATGTCATTACCATTAAATTTAAATCAGGACTGTAAAATACAGACAAAGGCTGAGAGATCTGAGAAATCACAAATCTTAACATCTTCATTTTTTTAGAACTCTGTCCTGATGACAGTCTTACACAGTTTTCTTCAGCACCCCTTTGCTTACCTGTAATGACTCTGTTGGTGGCGCTGAGACAGATTCTTCTCTGTACTGAGTTGTTCCCAAATGACTGGCAAGGAGCTGTGGTCCTTGCAGGGACCTGTGAGAAGTCTTTCTTTCTGTTTCCAAGATTAAAATTACAATCCTGTTACTCCACTGTCATTCGCTTCATGCAGGTAATATATATCTTAACATGAGTATTACATACTCTTGCTAAGCATATTTAAAAGTGTATTTGACATCCAGATTTTGGCTTCAAATAAGCTTCACGGAATTACAGGAAACTGAACTAGAAGAAACATCATGTCTCTCTGAAAGAGCTTACTTCTGTATTTTTCTTTTGTTACAGTTTTATTCCTTCCTTCATGCTCAAAAAACCCCCAGCTCCTAAAAGTAAATTAATGAGTAAACAGTAATATAATTCCCCGCTCTTAAACAGTCCCATTGCCACTGCCATGGAATAACAGACTTTATCTACTGCAAAAATCTGGGTCAAGCTTTAATTTCTGCTTTGTGTATTTATTTTGCAAACATAGTAAAGAATTCTGTAAAGGACTTGCAGTCCCATCAATTTAATAGCATTTTCTGGCACAAAGAGAAATACAGACTGGGCTTTGTTATGTTGCTGAGAAATTGATGACATTTTAAGTTTTTAAGAAGTCATGTGAAATGTATGAAAGGTAAGTTTTGTTCTCTGTTTGCAGTGTTGAGAAGAGGATGTTTTGTCTTCCAAGATGGTTTTAAAATTACCCATATGATTCAAGAGGAAAAGGTTACACTATCTTCTGCTATAAGAGAAGACTACCTCAGTTTTATGAAGTAATACTATACCTTGAAAGTCTTGGGGTGCTTCACCCCAGGCAGGCTTGATTTCCACATTCAGTCCATTCTTCTTTGGTTTTGTAGTAAACATTCCACATTCCTTATCCTAAAAGGTAATTCCATTTTAATTCCAGATGAAATTTTTGCTTTTGCTCTAATCCTCTCTTGCTACATATTTAAGCTATTTATTTTCAATGCAAGCATTTGAAAAACTTCTATTATAAATGTATTTTTAAGATATTTGACACAAATTGTTCGTAAAACACCACTGGGAAAAAAAGGGTCCCCCTGGAATTTTAATATTACAAAGAGGACCAAAGCAGCAAAGATTGGCAGACAGAGAAAATAAAATATGTTAATAGTATAGGCAGTTTAATCTCTAAGTAACATATATATATATAACATTTTATATTCACACAGGAGGTTACAATTGCTAAAACTTACCCGTGTGGCTATATCTTTTAGAAAATTCTTGTCATCATCTTCAACAGAGAAAAGGATGTCTGGTTGCTTGTACTCTACCAGAAACACCTTTGTTACGACTGTACTCTTCCTGCAGTCCCTGAAAATCAATGTTCACAGAGCTATATACCTGCCACAAACCCTTGTGCATCAATGAGCTACTGATGAACGTGGCTCATTTGGTTGAACATCTCTTCCAAGCTTGCCAGTTACTATTTCAGTTGATAAGTATAATCCTGGGCAACATTTAGTTGATAAAAAAACTTTAATGTGCTAATACTTGTTAAATTACAGCAATAACATTGAAATTGCTGTAAATGTGCAAACCACTCGGGATAAAAACATACCGGAAACAAGTGCTAATCTAGGTAGCGATAAAAAGAAAATACACATAGGCCTAGGTTTTGCATGTCTTTGCATAGGGAATATAATGTTGTTATATTCCAGCACAGACACAAATGAAGGCTACCTGCAGGTGCTAACAACCGGGAACAACAAGCACAAATCTCCAAGTGGAGTGGGAGTTTCTGCTCTGTTGGAAATAAAGGATAGTGCAACACAGTACAGACAGAGAATTTATGTGTCCTCTCTCTGTCTCTAAGCATGAAATTAGTTTGGACAAAATCAGCAGCTGTGCAGCAAAATCCAGTTTTCTTTCTATGTATTGTATTTTCACTTTACCCAACATTTTACTTAAGTTGCGAGGTTTGGCATTCTGTGTTCCTTTGGGAGAAATTAAGAAAGTTCCTGGGAAGAACAGCTTCCATGAATCCATTGAACCACTGGATGACCCCAGAAAACACTATACTTCCCCTTGTGTTTCTGATAATCACACCCAAAGGATGAGCTCTAAGTACAGTTCATTAGCTTCTCACTCACAGCCTCTGAGGATCGTTGGCCCACACCCACAGCCCAGGAGATGAACATCCAAGAGATAATTCAATCGCACAAACACTTGATGGATAAACAGTATTATGAGAAAGCAGTGTCAGAGCAGTTCATAAAGATAATTTTGATTGCAAACAGGCTGTTTGAAGGGGCATTTCTAATTTGCAAGGTACGGAGTGCCTTAAACAACATGGCTACAAGCTATGACTGAGATATCTGTCCACTGCCAAAACAGAACTAAAATAGGTAAGTTACTTACTTTGTAACCGCCAGTGCTTTGACCATTATTTTCCCAACTGGTAATATGATAGGACCCTTATACTTAAAAGTGTTACACTCTCCATAGCCAGGTTTCCTAATGAGTTCTGGTTTACTTCCATCTAAAGTGTAATAAATAGAGACCTCAGGTGTATCTGAAACAGAGAAAGCAATTATGCAAACTGTATTCAACCTTGGAAAAACAAGCTCTGCACTCCAGGGTACTCACTACTGTGCTTGATTTTTGTCACATAAACGAAATAAAGCAGTTCCATGAATGACTGAATGTTTG